CCCCCAGCCCCGTCTTCCCCACGAGGAGGAGAGAATGAGCTTTTGTCGCGGCCACTCCCTCTCCGTGATCCCGTAAAGGGTAGCGGCGGGGGTAGAAAGACCCCTGCCCCGGTGTAACCTTGGAATTTAACTGCTGGCCCCTCCCACTAGTTTGGCCTCTGGGGGGTGGGGGCAGGCACTCAGGCAATGGGGAACACTTGGAGAGAGCGCCAGAAGATGCAGCTGTGTAGCGTTGTGACTGCATCAACTGCCCCTTTGGCACTGTTCAGGGACCCGCCCTTGACCACCACCCCACTCCCTATCTTGGGCATCTGTGTCTTGGGCTTTTGCACTGGCCCAGCGGTGCCCTGTGGAGCGAGACCAACATGGCCAGGCCATCACCCTGCCCTCTGCGGAGGCCCTGTGCCAGGCTGAGCTTGCTGAACACAACAGGGGTGGTGAGACTTGGCCTTGGCTCCCTGGGCAGTGCTCTGGAGTGGCCTCTCTCTGGGGGGTCTGGCAGAATGGCCACCACTTCACCCTCACTGCCTTCCCCCACCCCCGTCCCAGGCCCAGCAAGGGATTCTCCCAGCATGTTAGCCTCATCCTCCCACCCATGGTCTTCCCACCTGGGCTTGGCTGTGGCATTACCATGCCCAGGTGTGGGGCTGCAGTCCGTCTGTCTGTTCACCACCACCTTCCCCTGCAGCTCCATGTTCTATGACGAAGATGGGGATCTGGCTCACGAGTTCTACGAGGAGACAATCGTCACCAAGAATGGGCAGAAACGAGCCAAGCTGAGGCGGGTACAAAAGAACCTGATTCCTCAGGTGAGGGGCCGAGGGCAGGGCTTGAAAAGCCTGCTCATAGGTGTGAGCAGGTGGGTCTGCTGTAGCGGTGGGGGCGTTTGCGGGAGGAACAGGAAGGCATCGTGGAGGAGGGTCCTGAGCTGGCACCCACCAGCCTCTGTTCCCATGGCAGGGCATCGTGAAGCTGGATACCCCCCGCATCCACGTGGATTTCCCTGTGATCCTCTACGAAGTGTGAGTCTCAGCAGGAAACTCCCTGGCTCAAGGTGTGGCTTCCCCGAAGAACCCAGGCCAATGCACCACCCGGAATAAACTCCTCTGTGAGCGGAGCAGTCCCGCCGTGGTGGCTGGGTGTTGGTCTGTGTATGAACAAGAAGACAGAACTACCCTGGGCGGGAATGCCTGGGTCCTGTGCCCTTGCCTGACCTGCTTGCTTCCAAGCTTGCCCGGGCCCCAGCCCTGGTAGAGGCTACAGCACTTTACAAGCAAGGTCTGCCTTCTCCCATCCCCTGGGCTGTGGGGGCTATACACAAATGGGGATCCCTTTGCCCTCACCTCCCTCGTCCCCTTGTTGGAGCGTTTCAGCCGTTTGCTACCTCGAATCCTCCTGTGTTGGACAGAGGCTGGGGCAACACTAGCCGAATGCTTCCTGCCCAGCTGTCCCCACTCCCAGCTGGATGGACACTTTGCTGGCAGTTGACAGTTGAGGGGATTGGTGTGGGAGGCATCTTCTGCCACCCATGGCTGGGCCGACCTCTCCCCACTGCAATAGTTGTTGCACTGGCTACCCAGTTGAGGGTGCAGGCCAAGTACAGGAAGGGGAGGGGTGGGGGGTGCCTGGGCCTACAGGGAGTTGCCCCACTGCCATCTCTAATCCCCCTGCCTTTGCACCCCCACCCCACCCCCACCGTCCCTCAGCCCACCATCCTGAGATATGAGACAGCACCCCAGGGCTGGTGCCAATAGCTCTCAGGAGCCCCCTCACCCCTGCCCCATAGCCCCTTCAGGATCAGTCAAGGGAAAGTACTGGAGCCCCCACCTTTTGTGCAAAGAAGACTTAAATGTGAAGGTTTGTAAATAGTCTAGTCTGTGATGATGTGGGAGCCGAGTCTGATCTCTGTGGAGAGACTGCTTTTTAAAACTCCCTTACTGGGCAAGCTGCGTGCTTCTAGAGGGAGGGAGAGTGGCTTGGGGAAGGCAGTCCCCAGGCAGGGAAGGCTGCTGTGTTCTTTGTTCAGTTTCAATAAAATGATTTGTAGAGCCCTCACACAAGAGTGACATCATATGGGGCCCC